TACTTTGGTTCTAAATACCTTCACTCCACGGAAATATTTGGCCTAATTTAATTTGCCAGTTTGGCATCCCCATTATTACTTGAGTAAAAGACGAAACACCTTCGTATTTATTTATTAATTATTGTTCATTGAACGGAAGTTTTTTTGTTCCCCTTGAAAAGTTAACTAATTTCCAATCAATAATAATAATTACTTGCTTTTAATTTAATTCCTTTTTCCAATTGAAATTTTGTTATTCATGATTTACTTCAAGTCCCTGTAAAACATTTTTAACAATTTACATTCAAGTTACTTTAAAACAATTTTCGGAATTAAACTTCCTACTTATGGGTTCATTCTTTTTAGATACTTCTACTAAAATTAATATTAGGAGATAATATAATCAATATTTCTTTAGTAAATAAATTATTCTTATCTTACTTTGCAGCTATTGTGCAAGTATTAGGAAAACTTGTTTTCAAACTAAGTGAATTTAAGATCATACAACATTATATGTACAGTGGTGGCCAAAATTGTGGACACTTTTGGAAATTTTTGTTTCTGAATTTTGCATGCTTATAGAAAACGTTACGTTTCACAAAATGCAAACTTGTATATATCATTCTAAAGAGAATTTATTACTGAATTCAATACAAAACACAAAATTCAATTATTTGCAATACAAAAAAAGTTAAACGATAATAGTTATTGATATACATTAGATAGTGATGATTGCAGTGAGTTATCAGTACTTTGTAGGGTACCCTTTATTTTTTATTACAGCTTCACATAAACGTTTCATTGAGCTCACAAGAGTTTTAAGCTCTTCTTTCGTTATTACATGATGCCAGGAAACAATTATAGCCTCAATTAGTTCCCTTTTATTTGATGGGCGCCTCATTCGGACAAGAGTTTTCAAACGGTGCAACAAATTTTCAATAGGATTGAGGTCAGGACTGTTTCCTGGCCATGACAACAATTTAATGCTCTTTGTACGAAACCACTCTTTCGATATTTTGGCTGTGTGGCAAGGAGCAGAATCCTGCTGAAAAATAAACGAAGCATTGTTGGGAAAGAGACCTCTGATGGAAGGTAGAAGTTTTGGTTCTAGAATAGTGTCAATGTATTTTCTGGCATTCAGTGTCCCATCGATGACATGAAGGCGACCAATACCATCTGCTGACATGCATGACCAAATCATAACACTAACTGGGTTCTTCACAGTTGCTTGAATGCAGTCAGGATGTAGCTCTTCTCCTATTTTACGTCTTACATATGTTCGCCCATCACTACCGAATAATGATATCTTAGTTTCATCACTCCATATAACTTGTGACCACTGATCATCTGTCCAATTAATGTGTTCCTTTGCCCACTGTAGTCTTTTTTTTTTTTTTTTTTTTTTTTTCATTGCTAAAAATTAAGATAAGGCTTTTTTTCGTGGAATTCTACCTCTCAGTCCAACATCTGTTAATCTTCTCCTAATTGTTCTCAAACTGACAGAAACACCAGCATCATTCAGATCACTTCTGATGGCCGCTGATGACATTTTTCTATCTTGGAGACATAGTCTTTTTATTCATCTGTCATCAATAGATGTGGTGCACCTTTTTCGGCCTTTTCCTTCTTTGTTTATTATTGAATTTGTCTCCTGATATTGTAAACAAAACTTTGGGACTCCAGATGTAGTCACTGAACCACCCACCTGTCTTGCAATTTCAGCATAGGATAGACCACTTTCTTGTAACACAATAATATTACATCTCTTTCTAGATGTCCAATCTACTCTTTTATTTGATGTCATTGCTTCTTGACTAAATATTAAAAATTTTTACAAAAATTCCTACTTGTAATTGCAGTGTATAAGAAACAGGTCCTCCTACAGAACAAAGCAAAATAATGAATTGTTTCAAGTGTAAACATGATGTCAGCTTCTACTGGCAGTTACTAACATTTGATTGGTTCTCAGAACAAGAACAGTGATTGGCCAGGAAAGCTAGACACTTCATAACTGTGTTTTTTATTTATATTAAAGTACATATAACTTTTTTTGTATTGCAAATAATTGAATTTTGTGTTTTGTATTGAATTCAGTAATAAATTCTCTTTAAAATGATATATACAAGTTTGCATTTTGCGAAACGTAACATTTTCTATAAGCATACAAAGTTCAAAAACATAAAAATTTCCAAAAGTGCCCACAATTTTGGCCACCACTGTATATATACACCAGTGTACAAAACTTAATAACAAATTCATTCTTCAATATACAATAACGAAATTGTTGAAAAGGGTTTTTTACGATCCGTACAATGAAAAGCCAACTCAGTAGAAAGGTGATGCACATGCAAATATCAACACCATGACATCAGAGAGTACGTCAGGGCACGTAAAATTCGAGGAGTCAAAATGCGCAGTGCAGCACAACTTAAAAAGATGAAAGGAAAGAGCCTTTCCAGGCATTCTTTTGTAACTGAAAATGAGATTGTAAAGGCAATATGGAGACAAAAAAACATCAAGACGCCTTTCACGTGGTATAACGATTCGTAAACTTGAGGAGCTACATATTTGTCTTCTGTCACCCAACAAATTAGAAATGAGAAAAGTGTTGTTTCATGAGCTTGAAAAGCCTTCCAAAAGACAGGTATAGCTATAAAAAAAAGGTTGATAGTGGTTGGACATGGAAAACAACGGTGACTCGAGATATATTGCTCCGCAGACGAAAAGAGATCGAAACCAGACAGTGGGCAACATTGCAACCAGTTTATTGTGGCCAGACGACTTCATAAATGCTGTCTATTCACCCACGGTACTGAACGCCACATACCACTGACAGCAGTCCATTGGCGGCATCGTTTACAGTTGTGTAGAGAACACAAAAACGTTTTTAATCCAAAGGCAGGCACTTGTCTATTCAGCCACTTCTAAGGCCAGAAGTCGTGGTCGTTTCATTGTGAAGGCACCGAATAGACAACCATCGTTACAATCATGCCTTCTCGGGATACGAGCCCGGGCTCTTCAGTACCGCAGTACGCTGTCCTAACCACTTTACCATCTGGGCGGCAAAACAAAGGGACTGGACACCTAATCAATGCAGTCACTTTCTCTTTGCAGATAAGATTCGTTTCAGTCTGACAAACGATTCATGGTGCCAGCTGATATGAAGAAAGGTCACGCTTTGATACCACTAACATCAGGGAAAGAGACAGTTGGGGTGGTTCTGGCGTGCTTATATGGAAAGGCCTCATGATGAGCGGAACGGGCGAAGTTCCACATTTTCGGCAGATGTTTACTTACCGGAGATCATTACTGTGATGAAGTTATTCTCCCCAAGCGGGTCTTTTCCGGAGTGCCATTGTCCCTAATTCGTTTTTATGGATCACAATGCACAGGACTCCTGCTATTGAAAGGCTCCTGGAAAGTGAAGATTTCACAAAATAGACTGGCCAGCAAGCTTCCCTGATTTTAATACCATTCAACATGTGTGGCATACTTTAGAGAGAAGCCTTTCAGCATGATCTGACCCTCCGGAGAACACAAGACAACTGAAACAGATGCTCCATGAAAAATGGGTACCCCAAGAACTGTTAGATAACTTGTTGAATAGTGACAGACGATGGAATGCAACAGTTGCAATTAAAACAGGTCATATCCTTTATTTATTAAAATTCTTTGCTTTGCTGTTCTCCCTCTTCCCCAGACAATTGTTTGTACCAATGCCATTGTGTCAATAAAGCCCATTTCTATTCATTCCGTACTGTATGAGTCCAACTAATTTTTTTTCCCTCCTGCTATTCTTTCCTTCAAGTACATTGTGTCTATGTAGTACGAAATTCATGTCTCTCAGTTGATTTTTTGCAGAATTGCAGCCAAAATCAGAAAAGTTGCTTAAGTTTTGCACACTAGAGTATTTTATTTCCATAACAGCCGCATCAATAGTCCACGAGAACTGCATTTTGAAATCTTACTATAAATTTCCAAAAAACGCATTTTTGAAGATGTAGGAGGGATTTTTTCTGAAGCTTCCAGAAAGCCAGACAAAACCGATATAAGTGGCCGCATTTGAGTCATAAAAGTCAGATTAGGTTTGCTTTATTTCAGAGATCAGTGCGGTTCAAAGCGTTAGCTAAGTTTACTCTGTAAGTGATATTGATAACCTATCATATATCTCATGTGTTAAGGATAATTTGCCTTATATTTGCGTTCTTCTTGTTTTATTTACCATAATGCAGTTTACGAGAATGTATTTATAAAACAGTTTTTATACTAAATACTGTCATCAAGAAGAGTTATGAAATCATCCAGAGGAAAAGGAATTTTTTAATCAAATAGAGAAAAAAGAAGACGCAAATTTTATAATATTTTAATTATTTATATAACTAAAATTAATGTGCATATCATTCATGTTTTCAAAAATGTATAAGAAATACTTTATAATGTATTTTTCCCTCCTTTTCCGCATGCCTTCGTGGTGTAACTGGAAGCATAATCGACGTGTATTCGCGAGGTCCGGAATTCGAATTCAGGTGATGGTATTGCAGATTTCTTCAATTTCCTGACATCGAAAATAACTCTACAAGTCGCGCCCGAACTAAAAGGTGGAGGACGATAATTTGTCACCACCAGGATTTGGCAACTGGGTCCAATAATCCCCATCTCTGGTCGCTCTTGAAAAAGGAAGTATATAAGGTTTTTTCTTCCTCCTTTCGGCATACCTTCGTGGGGTAGCTGGAAGCACATCGATGCGTATTCAAAAGTTCGAATTCTTCACGGCCATTCCAACTGGGGTTTATCTGAGCTAACGGAGTCAGTTCTATGTGTCGACTAGCTCTGCTATGCCTGCAGTTCCGATTTTTCAACTTGCCGCCCTATAACGCTACACTTTAAATAGGTATTTAAATCAAAATATATTTCTCTTCTTTTTAATTTCAATAAAATATGAATCATTTGAAATTTTAAAAGAAAATGAAGTAGAAAAACGCATACAAATATAATTATAGTGAGATATTAATAACTAAATATTAAAAAAGCTTTTCTTCCTTTATTTATTTATTTCGTATAGGAAAGAGACATAACCAGTAGATTCTGACATTATAAGCTTCAAAAGAATACAAAAAATAATCTTTAATGTAAAAATTTTCAACCAATCTTAAAGATCTGTAAATAAACAAATTAATAAAGCTGAAAAATATGAACACATCAGCAGAACAATAATAGTCTCTACGTGCACAATTATAAACATAAAATAATAATACTACTTATTTTGTAGCATACAAAATAGGTTGAAATAACTGATTGATTTATGTTAGCTTCATACATAAATTTCCCTTTATAAAAAATGAGAAGTTTATTCATGACTCAACCAAAAAAAGGAAAAAATTATTTTCATGCAATATATTATTATTAAATATATATATATATATATTGGAATAAAAGACAGCAATTTTAAAATAAAATTTAAAAACACTTATGATGCAACTTCGAGTTTCCTTCTAGTAGTTCTTCCTTCAAATTAGCTGTGACATAGAAATGTTAAAATTAAACATTGTATTAATTCGGATTATAACCAAAAGTTATTGGCTCAACTTCCAGAGTTCTCAAATTAATTAATGTTGCTGTGTAAGTCTCTTGAAACTTTGGAACACTAACCATCAAAACTGGTTTTTCTCCTGTAAATAAAAAAAGCAATATTACAATTATATAATGTCAAATAAATCACAGTAATAATATTGAAGAAAACATTTCTCAAAGTACATGTATAAGGTAGTTCTCCCGCCTCGGCATGTATCGAGAGGTCTAAGGTGCAAATCCCGGCGAGGGCAGTGTTTCATGATGCCAGCTTCAAAAAATTCTAATGACTCTACAGTAGCTGAACAAAAAAGATGGTGGATGATGTTCTCCACAACTAGGATTTGGCGATTGGGTCCCCTAATCCCCAGTCGCCCTTTAAAAGGGGGTGTACGATTATATAAGGTATTTCTCCCGACTTCTTAGCATGCCTTCGGTGAGTAGTGGTCAGCATAATCGACGCGTATCAAGAGGTCCGAGGTTCGAATCCCGGCGAAGGCATTGCTAATTTTTCGTGATTCCTGCTTCAAAAAATCCTAATGACTCCTAATTTATATGTTAACTATTTGCTTTTTTTTTAACACATAAAATGTATGTTTAATTATTCTAAATTTATTTCTTAAATATGCATGCCATTATGAAAATAATGTCCCATATGCTGCATAGTACGTGATTTTAGTATTTAAACATCAGCAGCAAACTATCTGTCGTCTCTATATATTAATTTTAAAAAGTATGGACAATGCCGCAAAATAAAATAAGATTAACTACACAGAAAAATACATGAAATTGATACTGGTTTTTAATTTGAACGATTTAAATATAAAATGTACAGTCTATTTCAAAAGCAATAACTATAAACATTTTGTGTCGCTCTTACGTAGTTAAATTAAGAAAGAATAACTTCACTCTGATGCTTTAAAATTTAACAGCTGAAAAAGATTTATATACATACTACACACACTAGCGAATGAATTAGAAATCTTTGAGATTTTTATTTGAATGCATGCTAGGGATGAAGTATGCAATTTCTTTTATGACATGGGTTACACGTGGTTAGAATGCTAGTATAAGTAAGGTGTAAGAGTGCTTTTTTTTTACGATGAATGAAGTAAAATGGGAAAAACGACACATCCTTCATGATTTGAAAAAAGGGTTTATTGTACGTGACAGTTTAGCAGGAGCCTCGATTTCGAAGACAGCAAATCTCACTGGTTTCTGAAAAGAGGCCATATCAAACGTTTTCAAAAGCTGAAATCAGACATCACAGTCCTTCTCTAGAAAACGTAACTGCACTCTCAGACAAATTGTACGGCAGAACAGGGACTCTAGTGTGCTTAAACTGACACAGATCGTCAACCAAGGCTCTTTCCAACAGATTTCTGCTCAAACTATGTGCAGAGACTTGCAGAGGATAGGAATGCATAGTCGGGTGTCCGTGAGAAAAACCACTCATGTCTGCCCAACATGCAAAAATTTGTTTGCAGTGGTATCAGGAAACAAGAAACTGTACATCTGAGGTTTGGAAATGGGTCATGTGGTCAGTTGAATCATGATACACCTTATTTTGCACTGATGGAAGGCCTCTAATTTGGCAGGATATTCGTGGAGCCATCAATCCATCTCTCCTCATCTCACTGTGCAAGAGTCTGGTGGGAGTATCATGACATGGAGTATGTTCTGCTGGCATGGAAGTGATGTCCTAGTGTTCCTCGAGAGTAAACAAACTTAGATAGACTGGTTTGTTCATACTGGATACCTAGATATACTGGCAGATCCAGTGCACCCTGCAAGGTTGCATTTTTACCCTGATGGCAAGAGATACTTCATGGACGATAATGCAACTATACATCGTGCCAGAAGTGTTAAAATTGGTTCACTGAACATCAGTCTGACTTCCAACACCTTCTCTGGCCTCCGCATATCCCGGATCTTAACCCCATAGAAAATGTGTGGGATATGGTGAAAAGACGCATCCAACGGCACTCTCCTCTTCCATCTAATTTACAAGATCTAAAATGCTGCATGGTATTCTCTGAACGTAAATGCACTCCAGAAGCATGTAGAATCGATGCCCAAACGAATCAGAGCAGTTATCCATGCAAAAGGTGGTCCAATAAATATTGATCGTGGGTTTCTAATTCATTGGCTAGTGTGCATATATACCATGACCACCCGGCCTTTATTTTCAAAATCATATATCGTAGATGTCTCGTCTACAATTGTTGACGAATCGTTGATCGTAGATTTTGTAATTCGATAGCCCTAGTGTGTGCCAAATAAACTTAAAAAAAAGGGAAGATAAACCAACAGTTGTAAAAAATAAAGGCCGGGTAAAAACTTTTGTGCATATATAAAGATAAAACTTATTATTTGTAAATTGACTGAAGCTTTTAGCATCTGTTTATTTAGCATACTTTTTAACTCGCTTACTTATTTTTCATTTTAGCATACATAACTAGAAACATAAATAGAACGATATATATACCGTGTCCCTCAAGTCATGAAATATATTTAAAAAAAAAGATTCATTAACAATATCTGTGCAAGGGGTTTATATTCCTTAAAATACTGTCCATGAGCATCTATGAATCTCCTTTACAATTGTTGTCACAACCTCTTGGATAGCCTCAATGCTATCAATTTTCCAGTCTTTCCAGAACACCCACGAGTCACATGTTCATCAGTTTGACTTGTTGATGGCCATCCAGAGTGGGACTCATACTCTACCCCTTACTAGGCTCTCTTAAACTTCTTCATGCACCTCGTAACTTGCATATACGAAACAGCAAAATGCTCTGCAAAGCTGAGAATCTCATCCACCTAACTCAACATGCCCGAACGTGCTGCCTGTTGGAACGCGGCAAAAAAATTTCCTGATTTTGGGAACAAACTTTGTATCTCAAATATATATATATGTCATAATAAGAGCAAATCAAAAGACGGAACACTGTAGATGCATTATTAGACCCATATTGAAGAAGATTTTGATTGCGTAGTATGCTAGTAATGCTAACTTGGTAATATATAAAGAACTTGGCAGTCAAGGCAGTTTTAATTCCATTTTTATTTGCAACTGATATTTGTGGCCACAATCACTTGGCACTCTAGTCGTGCCTTTCCACAGAAGATTTACATTTTTGATATTGTTGAGATAGAAAGCAAGCCAGTGAAATTACATCTTAGCACAGTAGAGAGCAAAAGCTAAAGAGCGTAGTTATGAAAGATGGAAGCACGGCGAAGAGAAAAGTTTTGGTTTACAGTGGCAGTTTCAGTTCTTAATTATTATGTCATCAGAGTTGTGCGGGCCATAGAGTGATCTAGAAATGACGCAATGCAGAGAAGTTATTATGATTTCAGAATAGAGAGGAAGAATTAATGTTTATAGTTTAAACTATATTTTTGATTCATAAAATTTATCTTACATATAGATAGATAGATAGATAGATAGATAGATAGATAGAGATAGAGATATATATAGATATAGATATTCTCCATTTTATATAAAGATTAATACATAATATCAATCAAATTTTATTAGCAAAATAAAAATAATAATTTACCATATTGCCTAAAATCCATTTTCGGCATATTGCCAGCAAAGTAAATATGAGGGTATTCATTAAGAACAAAGGGATCTTCATCCAAATATGGATAGCAATCTATTAAACAAAAAAATTGACATTAATCAATAATAACTGCACGAATGAAACAAGTGTATTTATAAATATATGAGCAAAAATAAGTAATAAATATCAGAAAATTTCTATATGAAAATTATTTAAAGCAGGAGAATTTTAATTTACTAATTTTTACATTAATATTTTTAACATTAACAGGAAATTATTTTGATCGTATGTATAAAATTGCTGCAAGATATAAAATGTGCAGCATTTATACAATTTAACCACAATTTGGAAATTTGGGCTCTTCAAATCACAACTTTGGATTTAGAAACAAAAATTGTGCAGAAATTGTGCAGAAAAAAAATATCCTACTGTAAAATTTTCAATGATTAGTCAATTATGAACAGCATTGATAATCCTATAAACAAAGTGTTAAAAACGCCAACGAGTACACCACATGACTTCCTTGTACGGTATATTAAATTATACGCACTTTCTCCTGCATTTCATTTAAACTTAGTTCCTCGAATTTCATTAGAGATATAGTTCTCATTCAATTAATTCAGTTCTTACTTCGCGGCAAGGCAAAAACACATAAACACTCAAAATATTTTCATTAAAAATTTAAAGGTATAGAAAAACATAAAACCCCACATACAGTTAAAAAAAATTTTTTTAAATTTTTACAATTAAAATTACAGTTTCTACGCAAAAACAAGCAATTCGGTCAGCAGGCAAGAAGGCAGATTTTTGGGTGCACAAAACTAAAAGTTTACGTTTGGTCCCACTCGGCAAAAAGACACTGAAGGTGCAGAAAGAATTAATTCACTATTCTGCTAAGTTTCAAATGTAAACAAATATGGTTGCTATGGTAAAAAAAGTTAGGCTTAGCCGCTCTTAAGCAACTTTTAAATTGTTGATAATTTTTACAAATACTACATGCAGATTAACTAAAATACATATATATACTTCTGGTGCGGCCGATTGCAACTAAAAAAGGAGGTACACAACTACATGCTACAGCATCCTATATACAAAATTTCAATGTTCTGAGGCTACTCGTTTTTGAGTTATGCAAGATACATACGTACATACAGATGCCGCGAAAAAAATCTCTTCTGAATTCATTTTAAATCAGTTTTATAATTCGTTTTGGGAAAAAGAGTTCTTTATTCTGTTCTTACGTACAGATGTCAGACAAAAACATCGCTAAATTGCATTCGATAGTGGTCGAAATGGATATTTTTATTGAAATATGGTACCCGGAATTTTTCGTGATTACAATACTTCCTTTACTTCGTACAAGGAAGTAAAAAAAGTGGCTAGAAATTTTATTTCCTTAATTTGATCTGAGATATTATACTTCTAACCACAAAATATCTCCATTGACTTCCAAAGTAAGATAAAGATTTCTGTGTAATAATATGAACATTTTCAATTTTGGGTGAATTTGTGTAGCAAAATTTTACCTCTCAGCTTACATACGGAAACACACAGTAACCATACAGACCGCATTTAATGATAACTTCTAAGCCGAGGGGCATTTTTCGAAAAGTAAAGAAAGGACGGTTTGCAATTTGGTAAATACGGTTATCATTATCAACTAAATTTCACAAGAAAATAGCGAGTAAAACATTCAAAAGAAAGAGCAAATACGAATTTCTTCAAATTCAGACAACTATGGGAAAAGTGACAAATATGCAATTTTGATGAAGTCATCTATTGAAACCTTACCAAACAAGTTTCGAAAGCCTAGAGCAGATAATTCCATACTACATCTGAATTTCCGACCACGCATGTAAATAAATAGCTCTAGGTCAAAAACACATCTCCCTTTTGACCTAGAATTTTCGGTAACAATTAGAAGCCAGCGATAGCAACGGCAAATAAGTTTATACACGTCTCTCATAAAGGATAGTTAGCGAATGCAGTCCAAAGCAGTTGATGAGCGTGGTCCACTTTTGCACACGGATCACGGAGTCACACCGAGATTAGTCGAGAGTTAGTAATTCTCTGCAACACGTAGTAATCAAACAAAAACCAATGCGCCGCGGCAAGATGTTTGCGCAGAACAGTGGGATAAAAGGAACAGAAATATGTAATTCTCAACGGAAAAGAATGGAATATCGTCTTTAATACAACAGATAAACTCTTAGATCTAATAAAGCACTCCACAGGTACTAGTACTACTTCATAAACAAATAACTGTAATCTAGCTTTTTTCCATCTTTGGACATTTTATCTGTTATTAAGTATAGATTTTAATAATAGATGAAATTGTAAATATCTAATAATACCTGAATATCGTTACGTAATCTGGCAATGTCTCTTTAGAATATAGTCATCGAAATGTAAATAGTCGGTGGTATTTTCAAGCTATTAAAAATGTTATCATAAATATCGTATAATAAAAAAATAATCTCGGTCTTATTTAAGTCCTCATTTTACAAACTTTACTAACTGCAAATAAATTCCTTACATTTTTATTGCACTTACTACTTGAGCCATAAATGGAGTTTTAATACAACAAATGCACAAAAATGCATTTGATAGGTCTCAAAAATCAAGGAAACTGCAGCAAAATCCTCCCCCCCCCCAAGAACTATTACCATTTTTGACTAATTTCAAAAGTCCTCCTGAAATTTACTGCAACCGTAGCCATGAAAATTAACTACTCAAGGCGTCGATATATAAAATTAGGAATGATATTTTGTGGAACGATAGGACATTTAAAATCTACGACAGGATTCAGTACTTTAAAGAATGGGGGATATAAACCGAATAAGATCACCGTTTCTGTTCTAAAAATAGTGACTGATTATAATAAATCTTCCTAATTTTGCGTACACGAATGATGCAGATACTTACATAACGTTCTACCTTTTAATAATCTCAAATCTAGGAACTGAAACTTAAAATTAGCCAATAGGGATAAAGCTGAACTGAACATAACAACCAGAGGAAGGTAAGCAAAAGTGAGCGCGCAATTTCAGCAAAACTTATTTAAAGAATTAAATCCTTTGTTTAAATTTTGAACGGCGACTGGAAAAGAGCTAACCGCATTGCAAAATTAAGAAGAAGACATAATGCGAATTACTTTTCAAATGATGTAATTTATGAAGCTCAATACGCTTTTACATGCGTTTGAACCAATTTTCGAAGCACTTTTTCCGCTCCGATTGAGGTAACTCCAAAACATGCCTTTTGAGTGCATCAACAGCTTCTTCGGGTATCGCAATTCGCTCACAACGCAATTTATTTTTGATGTGAGGGAATTAAAAAAAGTCATTGGGTGTCAAATCAGGGCTGTACGGCGGGTGACCCATCAGTTCGATGTTTTGGCCCGTCAAAAATTCATTTGTTTGAGCCGATGGGTGAGAACTCCAATTGTCATGATGTAGAATAATTCACTCTTGTTTTGCTTTTTTTTATTATTATTATTATTATTTTTTTTTTTTATTTTCCGATGACTTCTGGCAAAAAAAATAGTCGAATATTATTCGGAATCGTCCTGCGTTGCTCTAACGCCACTGTCGCCACGTGACCGGTAAAGCCAAAGAAACAGAGAACCATTTGCTTTGATGTGCTTCTTCCGCGATCAAATTTTGTTGGATTTGGCTTGTCTTGGAAGAACCATACGGTCTCTTGCTGTTTTGTTTCGGGCTCATATGCACAAATTCATGATTCATCACCTGTGTAGATGTTATACACAGCCTTTGGTGCACTTTGAATGTATTTTTCCAACATATAATTGCACCAATCGGCACGAGCCTTCGTTTGAGGGTTTATCAGATTATGCGGGATCCAATGCTAACAAATCTTTTTTACGGCCAAATGTTTCACGTAGTATCTTTTGATGCTTGTCATCTTAATGCCCGTCACATGACGATCTTGCTTTTTATCAGTTCACGCACAGCAACGATATTTTCTAGCACAACAATCGATTTTGGACGACCTTCACGAAATTCGTCCTGCAGCGAACGTCGAAAGTTGTGAAAAATATTCGCACGAAAATGTTTTCGAATCAATTCCATTTTTGGTCCGAGAAGAATTTTGCGGTTTACTGTAAATGACGCAAAATGTTCTAAAGAAGTTAGGGTTAAAAATACAAAACTTTCGATTGCAATCGTCTGCGGTCGCCTAGCAACACTTACCTAGCACACCAAGGCAAGAAATATAAATAGCAACCTTCATGAACGAATGATGCAGATACTTACATAACGTTCTATATGTAAACTAGGAAATTATGATTTCACAATTGAACAACGCCACAAGAGGCCCCGCACTATTCACCATAATAGTCCGTGGTAATGTGTATATTTTTGTTTTCTTCTTAGTTAGCCAAGATTTTACTTCATTTTCTTTACTTATAGATTTACTTATCAAATTACAAAGCACTATGGTTTTTGTTTCTGCCAAAGCAGGTAGACTTTGTGTGTAAATAGTTTTTACTCTTGTGAAACGTTTCAGTGTACTGCAAATTGTGTTTTTCATCATTTTACTTGCCAATTATTGCTTATCAAAAGAATAATTTTTATGAAATTTTAAAAATGCCTTACAATATATCCTGCAAGAGATGGCGCAACCAGGGCTCCAGTCAACTAAAATGCTTTTGATCACTACTAATAGATGGCGCTACACGAGCACCTCTTTTATACAAAGTTTACTTATTCTACGGACGGTGGCACACGAGCCTCCGTCGCTAGTAATCTCTGAGTTCTAGCACAGCATGTGTACAAGTACTTCCATATTATTGGATACAACTTACTCCATTCTTCAAGCATTTAAAAGTCAAGTATCATATATTCGTAAAGGCCGTTAATGGTCGATTGCCTCTTACTAAGTAAAAAGACATATATGTATACTGAATGTATGATTCGTATACGCTGAAGGTATGAATCTCGGAGTTTCAATAGTTTAATGTACTCCCTTAAGTGAGGATACACTTGTGGTATAAGTTGTTTACATCTACTCAGTAACCGAAAGATTCGAAGTTACAATTCCAACTATGGCACTGTTGATTTTTAATGTTTCCA